GGAAAGAGTCGGGGAAGATGAGGGGTGGCTGATCTGAGGGGGGATGAGCTGCAGTTAAGACCCCAGGAATGATGTTCTGTGGGAGAGAATGCCAGTGATCATCTAGTCCCACCTTCATTTCCTAGATAGAGAAACGCAGGCTCAGAGAAAGGTAGTGAATTGCTCAAAATCCACCGTTGGTATTTCCACATAGTAGGTCTCCCAAAGCATTTGTCAAATGAGTTCAAGGGCTACAACCAGCACCTTCTGACTTCAAGCTCAAGCTTCTGTCCATACAGCTGTCCTCAGATGCAGAAAATTGGTAAGGAGGCTCTTTTATCCTGAAGACAGGCATAAGGGGAATGACTCTGGTGCACATAAAGCATGGGAGGACCCTCCAAGGCAAAGAAATAGCAGAACTGGGTAGTTTCTAATAGTCTTTAGAAGCTGCCTCGAGGCACTTTGAACCCTGGTGACCCATATTCTCACTGAACACAACATGTTTTCTAGTTCCTCTTTGGTTTGCTGGTATCTTCTTTTTCATCTAAAACTAGTAAGCAAATAAGATAGGTTGTCATTTCCTCATTTTCTAGCCGTACTCCTTGTGGGGGCCAGAAATCTCTTTCAAGCATCAGACAGTGAAGGGTTCCTGGGTGAGCGGTGGGTCTCTGTCCCCCTCTCCAGGGGCTCTTGGATAGGACCTTGCTCTGGGAGGAGCCATGGACCTCTGGCTTTGGTCACTTTACTTCCTGCCAGGTAAGTGTGGGGAAACACACTGGACGTTGTATGAGGGCAGAATTGGCCACAGGTAGGGGAGTTGCTATGCACCTCCAGCTCTGAAGTTTCTGGATGGATTTAGTTGTAAACCGGTACCTAGGGCACAACATGGATGGAGGCCCTCCCCACTCTCAGTTAGTGCGCCTCCCTCTACTCCAGACACACCTCCTGCTCGCTCAGGAGTTGACTTGTAAGGGCTGAAGGTGCCACCTCTCCCAGACATATGGGCCTGTTAGTATGGAATCTCAAAGCAAGTGCCTCCTAAGTTCTTTCTTCTTACTTCTACATTCTTTTTCTTTGGATCTCTTTCACGCCTGAATTTTCAAAGTTCCAATCTAAATGAAGTCTCCCTAATCCATTTGGTAGCCCTAATCCATTTCCTGAGCTCCATATCTCAATTTACAACTGTCTCCTGGGCACTCCCACTTCCATATCCCATCAAGATCAGAAATGCAACAGGCCTAACACCTAACCTCAAATTCCTCACTGGTCACCACCCAAATCAGCTACTCTCTCTGTCTTAACTGTCTCTGATATCAGCTGTAAAATGCCAAAATAGCTTTTTACCACCTCTTCCTATTTATCCCCAACCAGACTTTGACCTAATCAATGGCCAATTCACGTAGTTTCTAGATTCACATTTACAAGGATGAGAAGCCACGGCAGCCCCTACTAGAGACATAACAGAGGGAACGGAAAGGAATACCACAGGATCACCTCTTAACTATCTCTCCCACTTCCTCCAACCTGACCAGCCTGTAGCTCCAGATCAACCTTCCTTCATCTTGACTGTGATCATAGGATCATCCTTTCCAACAACCTTCCATGGCTCCCACTGCCTACTGAATCGAACTCCTTAAATACAAACTCCTCTCTTGGCCTCCCCCCTTTTTTTTTTTTTTTTTTTTTTTTTGCGGTATGTGGGCCTCTCACTGCTGTGGTCTCTCCCGTTGCAGAGCACAGGCTCCGGATGCGCAGGCTCAGCGGCCATGGCTCACAGGCTCACAGGCCTCTCCAAGGCATGTGGGACCCTCCCGGACCAGGGCACAAACCCGTGTCCCCTGCATCGGGAGGTGGACTCTCAACCACTGTGCCACCAGGGAAGCCCTTGGCCTCCCCTTTTATACTCTGAGCTTATCATACTCCCCTGTACTTTCCTAACCTCCAGCCAATGGGACGCCTCTTTGAACATGTGCTAGACTTTCCTGCCACCATGCCCTTGCTCATGCCATTCC